TTTGACCTCTCCGGATACGCCATGGCGCAGATCGTTGACAACGTCGCGGTCGGGACGACCCCGATCGAGTACCGACGGGTCCCGTGCCCGAGAGAGGGGCCGGCGGTGGTCGGCGTCGTCGGAAACCCTTACTGGCTGGAGATTTCGGTGATGAACTTGGCGCATTGGGGATCATACGACGCCATGCGCGTGAAGGATGCCGGCGGCGTTTGGAAGGACCTGAAGAGAGACTGGGGGACGAACTTCGTCGTGAACGAGCAGCTCCGGGGCAACATCAGCGTGCAGATATCGGACTCCGAATCCGGAGATATGGTCACCCTGGAAGACTGCATCCCGGAGGGATGGACGACGGGGAACTCCTTCGCGTGCCGAGCCAATTACGATGACGGCAGCAAGGTCGCGACATCGGACGCCGGAGGCACCCTCCCAGTTCCGACGTCGCCCACCACTACAGAACCTATGAAGCCGAGCGAGACCGACTTACCAGTCGCTCTGGCACCGGGCCCCGGGCAGAGCGCCCGACCGCCCGCACCCTCCCCCGACGTCGCCCAAACCGGCGCGTATGCATACGACTGCACATGCGAACTGAAGTCATCTTCCCGCTAGCTAGTAGACGCTCACGTCGGCCCCTCTCCGCGAGGCTCTCGCGACGGCCCTCAGTGAGGCACGAGAGGCGTCCGTAGGCCGGTACACCTCCAGCTGATTCCTAGAGGACAGCGGGTTCTCTCTGAGGTAGGAGTTGGCGGATGGACCCCACTTCCTCACGTGCACCTCTTTGCCAGGAAACCGCCTCTTGAGGTCTGCTGCGGCGGCGCTGGTGCCGGAGCGTCCGAGCACCACTATGCGTCCAGGGTCCGTCGTGGACCAGTACGGTTTCCGCGATCGACCGTAGAGGCGATCGAAAGATCTGACGAGGCTGTCGTCGTCGCAGCAGCCGGACTCGTCGCAGATGCAATAATCCGACTTGAGACCGTCGCAAATCCCGGCCCTGCACAAGTAGAAGGGTCTCTTGACGACGGCCGCCCCGCCCCCCTCTTTCTTTTCCTCTTTATTCTTGGAAGCTTCGAAGGGGTCTCCACCGGAAGGGAGGTCGAGCAAGGCCTTCCCGTAAACTGCCTCCGCTGCGAGGCGATTCTTTTCTAGATTCGCGAGCTGGCGAGACGTGCCGATCGGATCGGACGGCTCTTTATACTCGATACCGGGTTTCAATATGCCGTATAGGATATCGTCCACCGTCTCGAACTCCAGTTCCCATAGATTATCATCGCAGATCTTCTTTGCCACCTTGATGAACTGAAGGTATGCGAGCTTTATCAGATTCTTCTGGGCGTCCGTCTTCGGGGGGTAGAAATCGGAGGGCTTGACGCTCAGGATGAGACCCTTCACGACGTTGTTCTCCTGGTTGATCTTGCGTCTCATCGCCCAATCGAGCTTCAAGTAGCCGTTGCTGACGAAGAGGACGAAAGTGCCTTTCCGATCGTCCACCGCCTTACCGATGGCCTTTCCGAAGATCTGTGCCGCCTTCTCGTTCCCATCGTTCATCGCCTTCTCGGCTCC